AGTAATCAATAGAGAAGAAGGCACTGGAATAAGAGAGAAATAGGAAAGCTTCCTATAGAACATGGGATTTTAGCTGAGACCTGAAGAAAGCCAGGAAAACTAGGAGGCAGAGATGTGGAGAGAGAACATTCTAGGTATGCGGAACTGCTGCAGGAAATACCAAGAGCTGAGATAGTGTCTTGTTTGGGGGATGGCGGCAGGCGGGGCAGTATCATTGAGGGATAAAAGAATTGGCTATGGTCATCGATGTTTGGATTGGGGCAGGCAGCCATGATAGAAGGCCTAGAACAGAGGTTTCAGATATGGCTCACATGTGACTCAAGTCCCCAGTGGGCTGGAGCCAGATTAAAATGTAATTTGGAAATATTTAACAAAATAGATAAAAATATAATAACACATAGATAATGTTAATATGTGGTTTGACTCTACTGGTCTGGAGAGCCAAGCAAAATCACAGGCTTCAGCTATGGCATCTACAAAGCCTGAAGTAACCAATATTTTACATCAAAAGGCATATAACTATGGAGATATTAGTAGTGTTTTCCTAAGTTTAAATAAATAATGTTGATAGCATATGCTTGAGTTCTTACCCATGCTTAATTTTCTTATAATGAATAAAACCCAAGAATTTGCTAGCCAAGATTTGGACTGTTAAGGGATAAATACCTAGGTATTTACATAATGACTTCCCCACTAGAATGTATGTGACTTGAGGATAGGTGTTTTCATCTTTTCATTGTGCTTATCTTAGCACATAGTAAGAACTTCATAAGTGCTTGTTGACTCTCTTAACCATCTCTTTTATACTATTTTCGACTATATAACCATAAATGAATAGTTAAAAATTCTCAATATGTTCTGATCAATTGAATTTTTTAGTACTATACTCCTTAATTTTTCTGAATTCTGTGTACAGTAGACAACTCATGAAAAAAGGCATTATAACATGAGTCTATACTATCATTAATATATTTTAAATCATCAAAATTCTATTAGGTGAATAGTTGAATTTATTATGTTATGAATACATAGCAGGAGTCAATGTGGCGTAATATATAGAGAGTCAGCCCTGAAGTCAGGAATACCTTGGTTCAAGTTTCTTCTCTGATACATATTGGCTGTGTGGTTTGGGACAAATCATTTAATGCTCAGTGTTTCAGATAGCACTCTAAGAAGTTTTAGAGCTATGTATTGGTGGAGTAAGTGTCTGCACCAGAAATTATCAATGCCAATGAAATCTCGTATCTATTCCAAAAAAATATTAATTGTAGCATTCATTATTTTAAATTTTAATTCACTGTGCATATAGTTTATTTCTTTGTTTGCATCACTAAAATTTCTTATAGAACATAATGGTATGGAATGATATATTCTTTTATATAGTTCTTTTCTTTAGATCAATAAGTAATTTGAATAGGTGGGGTTGGAGTTGCCTCAGTTGAATACCAATGTTCTCATCTTTATTTTTCTTCTAGTTTGATACTGATTTCAGTCTTCTCTTATACAAGTCAATGCACAGGACTCCCCACAGACAGTTCGATTTATCTATTCTTTGGCAGATAGTAGGGGGTTGATTTTAAAAAAATTTATTGATGCCTTTTGTTTTTACATTATAATGATTTCCATTTCCTTATTACCTCGTCACAATGAACCTTTCCTTATAACAAAGAAAAACCCATTAAGTAAAACTAGCTAACCCAGTGACCCCTGTCTGATAGTGTAACAGCATCTTCCACATTTTCAGTAAAGAAAGGAAGGAGGTATTTGTGCTCATCTTTTCTCTGTGACCAAAATTGGACATTCAAATTGCACAGTATTCAACTTTGTTTTATTGTTCTTTTCAATTATATTGGTGTAGTCATTTTATATGTACTTTTAATGGTTCTGCTTACTTTATTTTAGTTCATGTAAGTCTTCCCGTGTTTCTCTGAAGGGCTCATATTTATACTTTCTTCTTGCACAATAATATTCCATTACATTCTTTGATTATAATTTGTTCAACCATTACCCAACTGATGAGTATCTACTTTGGTTCTACTTCTTAGCTACCACAAAAATTGTTGGTATGAATATTTTTGTGTATGTGGGATCTATATTTTTCTCTCTTTAAGATCACTAGGTCTTACAGAACATGAACAATTTAATCATGGCCCAAGGTTGGGTTTTTTTAAATAAACAATTTAAATAATCTACTCTAAGACTTTTAAAAATTAGTCTTTTGGGGAATAGACAGGTCCAAAATGGAATGTATTTTTTAAAAAAATATTTCATTAATCATTTCTTAAAAAAAAAACCAAAATGCCCCTGAAATACATATACAATTTTTTTTCATATCACTTTAAACTAGTGGCCCTAAAAATGCAATTTTATTTAAGTTTCTTACTGCTAAAAGGGCTAAGAGAAATATTAGTAGTTTGCAGTACAAAATAATCTTCCCTGTATCAGTACCAATACTGGCAAAAATCAGTAAGTATTACTTAAAACCTTTTATGTCTCAACACCATCTTAGGAACTCTGAAGGATTCCAGAGAAGTAGGATATGGACCCCCTACTTGAAGACACTTTTTATCTAGTTATATTTACACTGATTATAAGGACAAGTAAGACTTAAGCATTATATTTTAGTACATTGTTCAGTTATAGTATGTTGCTTACCAGACTGTCAATATTCATTCTGTGTGTATCATGGAGGTGGCTCTTTGCTTCAGGATGTATTATTTCAAGTGGACCCCTACCTGAAGGCACTTTTAATCTAGTTATATTCACACTGATTATAAGGACAAGTAAGACTTAAGCATTGTATTTTAGTACATTGTACATTTATGGTGTACTGCTTACCAGTCTGTCAACATTCTTTCTATGTGTATCATAAAGGTGGCTCTTTGCCTCAGGAAATATTATTTCAAGTACTAGCATGTAATTTCCTATCAATTAACTCATTTTCAGAAATGATTTGTGGAGATCTGGAATGTTGAAAGGTATTGGTTAAATGTGATGAGAAGAGAAGAGGTTTTTTAGGATCAGGATGCTTAGAATAAGGGGAAACTTAGTTCCAGGAAGTGATTACATGGGACAGTAATTTCCTATTTCAATTCATGAAGCAGTGAGGAAGAAAGAAATAATTGAACATGGACAAAACTGGGTGGGGAGAAAGTCTCCAGTTATCCCCATGGCATTCCTTAAAAAGCTTCCTTCTATACACATAATTCTAGTATTATTCTTCCAAAGGGGCTAAGCTAGATAATCTTGAAGACAGCAAGAAATCTACTGTCAGGAACATTCAATTAAGGAATATGATAGCTCATCCACAAATGGAGAAATTAGCAAGCTGGCTTGAACTTCAGTAGGAAGAATGTAGCTTTTGTGGGGAAGAACGTGATTGAAGTGTGCCATAATGGTTTCATGATGGAAAAGAGTCTGTGGAGGACGATAAATTTAGATTCAAGCTAAGTAAACAAGTATTTATTAAGCACCTACTGTGTTCTAATCTGTGTTCTAAAAACAAGGTTAGGCAAAAGATAATCTCTACTCTCAAGGTCAGAGTCTAATAGGAGGAAGAACCTGCAACTATGTACAAAAAAGATATATATATAGGATCAATTGGAGGTAATCTCAGAGGAAAGACATTAAGAGAGAATGAAAAAGGCTTCTTGTAGAAAGGAGGTAGAATTTTAGCAGGGACTTGAAGGAAGCTGGGTGGGTGAGCTAGGTTGTGGAGATGAAGAGGGAAAGACAGTTCCAGACATGGGGAAAGATAGTGAAAATGCCCAGAGTCAGAAGATGAGGAGTATAATGTGAGGAACGCCAAGGAGACCAATGTCTTTGGATTGTAGGATAGGTAGGGGTGAGTATAAGTGTACAGTATACTTATACAGTATAAGAAGACTAGAAAGGTAGGAAGGGCCAGGTTTAAAGGCTTTTAAAAGCCCAACAGAGGATTGTATACTTCATCCTGGACGTGATAGGGAATCACTGAAGTTTATTGAATAGGGGGATGACATGGTCAGATATGTGCTTCAGGAAAGTCATTTAGACTGCTGAGTGAGTGCAGGACAGACTGAAGTGGGGAAAGATTTAAGGCAGGGAGAACAACCAGTAGTCCATTGCAGTGGTCCAGTCATGGGGTGATGAGAGCCTACGCTCAGGTGGTGGCACTATCAGAAGAGTAGGGTAGGGGGAGGAGTATACAAGAATTGTTATGAAAGTAAAATTGATAGGAATCAAGCAACAGATTAGATATAGGAGATGGAATGAAATGAGAAGTTCGGGATGATACCTATGTGAGGGTGAGGCTGAGTGACTGGGAGGATGGTGGTACCCTCAGTAGTAATAGAGAAGTTAGGAAGAGGACAGAGTTTGAAAGGAAAGAGAATGAGTTCAATTTTGGACATGTTTCAGATGTTTATGGGACCTCCAGTTTAAGATTTAATGCAATAAACAGTTGGAGATGCAAGCCTGGATATTAGGAGAGACATTAGGACAAAAAATATCTGAGAATCATTTGCATAAAGATGATAGTAGAATACTTGGGAGCTGATGACAATCACCAGGGGAAATAGCATAGAGGGAGAAAAGAAAGCCCAGGACAAAGTGTTTGAAGTTATCGATAGCCAATGAGTGTGACTTGATTGAAGATTCAATAAAAGGGACCGAGGAGTGGTTAGACAGGAGAACCAGGAGAGAGCAGTGTCATGAAAAGATGTTTATCTTTTAATCAGTTTCCTTTTCTGTAAAATTATTATTAGTCTGGAATGATGTCAGAGATCTCTTTCAGCTGAATTACTTCATGATTCTTTGATTCAGAGATTATATTAAAGCAACTAGTTCAACCATCTATGATGGTCAAGAAAGTCAAATAGATAATGAAGAATGTGTTTGCTTGAATACTTTTGAAATTACCCTATTATGTTGTGGTTGTTTTTCCTGCACTTTTTTTAAAGATTATATTTTGTCAATAATCCAGTTTTGTCTAATCACTAATTTTTAATTTCTTTGATTAGATTATAAGAGGAATTCAGACTCTGCAAAACACAATAATAAAACAAGATAAACGGCTATCCAAAGTAATGACCAATTGTGGTTCCTTCCATGTTACCCTCCTAGTGATGCATTTACTCAGTGAAGAGGAAGTTAACCTGTAAGTATTTTGAGATAAATTCTTTCTCTCCTATTCTTCCCCAACCCTGCAGTCATTATACAAGCGCAGGAGAGAAGAAAGTAGAGTTGAAAACTTCAAAAAATAGATTAAAAGAATATTAGTATTTTAAATCTTACTTTATTCAAATCAGTAAGCCTCATGATTATAGGGAAGAGACCCTACATTCTCAGAAACTATGCCAGTGGAATGTAAATTTTTTTAAATCTTACAAGGAGGAAGGACTTTGAGTATAGGTTGGTTAACAAACTGTTTTGGGTCATTTGAGAATAAGTCAAGCTCAATTTGGAGACACTTATCACCATGTTAGCTTTAGGGAAATGATTTCTTTGCTCAACTCAATAGACCGATACTTTGAACTAAGTCGTGGCACATTTGTGATCATTGTGATTTGGAGATATTTGGATGAGGTATTGAAATAATAAGTAGTCATATAGAACATAGAAAATTGTACAATTTTAGAGATAGAAGGGATCTTGAGGAACTTCCAGTCCAGTTGCCTCATTTCATAGTAAGATCCAAGAAATTAAGTGATTTGGTCAAAGCTACATAGCAGCATAGTGGCAGAACTGTAACTTGTGCATAGCAGTTTCATTTTTTTTTTTGTTTCAGCAGACATTTATTAAGTACCTTCTATGTGCAAGATAGAATGCTGGGCACTTGGAATACAAAGACAAGTATCAGATAGGTTCTTCTTTCAGGAATTTTCCAGTCTAATGAAGGGATGGATAAGTATGTAAATAATAGTGATAGACAGGACAGTGAGCAGAGAGGAATTTAGGGAAAATACTATGACATGGAGAGGTGACCTAAACTCCTAGGTATGGACTCTGGTTTCAGGGGAGGCTTCATGAAGGGAGAGGCCATCTGGTGTAGTGGAAAAAGTCATTAATGTGGAATTACAGGATCTCATTTACAGTATCAGCTTTCCCACCTAATATTTGTGTGACCTTGGGTTAGTTTTTATCTTCTTTGGGACTCAGTTTCCTCATCTGTACAGTGAAGAAGCTAGACTAGATGGTCTCTAAATTCCCTTCCAGCTCAAAATGTATGATGCCTTAAGTTAATTTAGAAGGCTTTAGAGTAGTGTAGGTTGCTATTTGTATTATACCACACTACCTTTTATTTTAATACTTGTATAACCAGATTGGTCCGAAGTTTTATTTTGTATTACAGTGATCAGTAGATACAATTCATTGTTCTTAGACTGTTGTGTTCTTAAAAAAAATTCTTTGAGCTATACATATCTTATATGGCAAAATAGAGGATCTCTTCCTACCTGTAGATAAATAGACTTCTCTTTGCCCTCACCACAGCACATTTCTGAGTTCAGAATCAAAATCTCAGAATTGGAAGCAGTCATAGAGACTACCTAGTGAAACATATATCTGAATAGAAATTCCTTTTACATCATTTTCAAAAGTAATCATCTGGCCTCTGCTTAAATACTGACAGTGAAAGAAATTGACTGCATCCTAAAGCAGACTATTATACTTTGAGAAAGTTCTAATGGTTAGGAGGTTTTTACTTATATTAAGGCTTGCAACTTTTACCCACTGCTACTATTTTTATCCTAAGGAGCCAGACAGAACAAGAGTAATCCCTCTTCCTCAAGACTCACCCTTTTATATTTGAAGAAAGCTTATTAGCCTATGTCTTCTCCAGTGAGAACATATCTGGTTCCTTTAAGTCAGGCCTGCGCAACACGAGGCCCACCAAAGGATTTCTGGTGGCCTGAGAAAAATGTAGGGTTGCCACTGCACTCTCCTCTTTGTCACATGACCCACGGCAACCAGCCATCGTCAGTCTGTCTATAGTCTAACCTCTCTGAGGCCCTAAGAAGTTTACCCTATTTTAATTTTGGCCTCTACCTACTGCCAAGTTGTGCAGGTCTGCTTTAACCAATCCTCTCACCATCCAGGTGCCCCTTTTCTGAACGTGCTCACACTAGCCTGTATTCTCCCTTCATTGTGGCACTCAGAATTACACAGTGTAGACAAAGTTTGATGAAGGCAGAGGACATTGAGATTCTCACTTCCTTGGTTCTAGACACTGCTTCTCTCAACCCAGACAATAATGGGAGTAGCTTTTTGGACTGCCATGCTACACTTTTAACTCATCTGGAGCTCACAGTCACTAAAATCTCTGGATCTTTCTTATCTAACCACACATCCCTCCTTTTTGTACTCGTAAAGTTGCAGGTTTTTATAGCCCATCCTTCTAGTTTGTAGAAATTTTTTTGGATTGTGAGTCTGATCCAGCATGTTAATGATCTTCACGTCTTTTGCAAATTTTTGACAGGTATACCTTATATACTTCATCCACATCTCTGATAAAAGTGCTTAACACTGAAGAGGCAAGGACAGATTCTTTGGGCAGACCAATAGAAGATTTCTTCCACATTGACATTAGCCCATTAATTACCACTCTTTGAATTCAGTCATTAAACCGATTAGGAATTTAACTAAACTATCAGCTAGCTGATTCCCCTCTCTCTCCTATGTCAATAAGGATAGAATAAAGCTTTTTATCATATGCTTTGAAGAAGTCTAAATATATAATGTTTAAAGTATTATACATCTGCTATTCTAGTTACCCAGTAAATAGATGGATAAATAAATAAATAAGTGAATGAATGAATAAATAAACAAGAGAAGTTAATCTGGCACTACCTGTTCTTGATAAAGCCACGCTGACTGTTAGAGGTTGTTACTTCCTGGAGAGGACTTTTGATGTATTAGGAAATGACCCAATTTATTTGTGGTTTTGTCAGTGCTGATAATATAATACTTTATATCATTGTCTGCAATGTAGGCAAGGAAATAATAACTTCATTTCATACTCAATACTTTGTGGACTCTGGGATAGCATGTTTGGTCAAAGTCTTTTCTCTCTGTGTTTAAGTCTCAGGATCTGTGGAGGATTTTAAAAAATGAATAAGGAGGAGCCTTCAAGCTTATAGGGAGATTAGATATGTTCATGATACGTTTGTATGCATATATATATACACACATATATCTGAATATATCATTATTGAGGCAAGACAATCCTTTTACATCTCCCTAAATGACTCACTATCCACAGTAGCTTTACTAAACTGTTTGATCTCTCTTCAAAACTCCTATGTCCTTGCCTCATATTTCAATGAAAAATTGAGGCTATTCAAAGAGAGCTTCCTCTTTATTTCACATCACTCAAATGCTTTCTGCCAATATCTCCTCCTCGTATGAAGAAGTGGCTATTCTTACCAAGACAAACCCTTTTACCTGCACGAGAGACCCTGTTTCATCCAGTTTTCTCCCCTCTATCATCTCTACTCTATCACTGGTGTTCATTCTCTTCCTGTCTGCTGGTTGTTTCCCTACTGCATGCAATCCTGCCCCTGTCTCTCCCATCCTCAAAAAACTCCCAGGTGATCTAACCATTTCCATTAGCTATTATCCCATGTCTTCGTTTTGTGGCTAAGCGCTTGAGAAAGTTGTCTACAGCTAATGCATCTGCTGTCTTTCCTCTTAGTCTCTTCTTAATTCTCTATTGTCTGGCATCTGCCTTTATCGTTTAACTGAAAAAGCTCTCTTCAAAGTTACTAATTATCTTAAATTACCTAATCCAGTGGCCTTAATCCTCCTCCTCTGCAGCCTTTGATTCTGTCAGTCATCGTCTTCTCCTTGAGAATCAATTATCTTGGTTTCTATGATACTACTCTTTTTCCTCCTATCTGACCCCCTCCTCAGTCTCCCTTGTTAGATCTTCAGTCAGGTCATGCTTCCTAACTGTGAGTGTCCCCTAGGGCTCTTTCCTAGGGTCTCTTCTCTTTCCCCTCTATAGTAATTCCCTGGGTGATCTCAGTTCTCATGGATTCAGTTATCATCTCTATACAGATGATTCTCAGATCTTTTGTCCAGCACTAACCTCTCTCCTAACCCTCAATTTTGCATATCAAACTTTCTATTAGTTGGTCAGTTAATAAACATTTATTAAGCTCCTACGGTGTTCCAGACAGTGTACTAAGCACTGGGGATACAAAAAAGGGGAAAACAGGCAGTTCCTGCCCTCATTCTAATTGGGGACACAACAAGAAAACAAATATGTAAAGACAGGCTCTGTACAAGATGAATAGAAAATAAGAAAGGAAGGCATAAGAATTAAGAGGGGTTGGGAAAGGCTTCCAGTAGAAGATGGGATTTTTGTTGGGACTTAAAGGAAACGAGAAGGCAGAGAGGAGAAGGGAGAACATTGCTGGCATGGAGCGAAAATTAAATGCCAGAAAAATGCGCAAAACTTATCTTCTTTGTGGAACAGCTAGGAGACTGGTGTCACTGGATTGAAGAGTATGTTATAGGAAGTGGGAGAAGTGTAAGTATAAGAAGGGGGCTGGGTTATAAAGGATTTGGAATGCCAAATAGAGGATTTTGCGTTTGATCCTGGAGACAATAGGGAGCCACTGGAGTTTATTGATTAGGGAGGTGACATGGTTGGACCTGTGCTTTAGGAAAACCACTTTAATGTCTGAAGTGAGGATGGATTGGAGTGAGCAGAAATTTGAGGCAGGTAGATCCACCAGCAGGCTATTGGCAGTAATCTAGGTGTGAGGTGATAAAGGCTCGCATAAAGGTGGTGTTATTGTCAGAGGAAAGAACAGGGAGTATTGGAGAGATGTTGTGCAGGTGAAATCAACAGGCCTTAGACATCTTGACCTAGATATCCTATAGACCTATTAAAGTTAACATATCTACAAATGAACTCATTCTCTTTCCTTCCAAACTGTCCTCTTCCTAATTTCCCTGTTACTATCACGGGCACCCGCCGTCCTCCAAGTCACCCAACCGTACCCGCATATAGGAATCATCCCAAACCTCTCACTTTATTCCACCTTCTATATCTAATCTGTTGCTTGATTCCTATCAATTTTACTGTTGTAACATCTCTTGTATATTCCTCTCCATACTCTGCTATCTTCTGATACTGCCACCACCCGAGTGCAGACTCTGATCGCTTTATGACGGGACCACTGCAGTGGACTACTGGTGGTTCTCTCTGCCTCAAGTCTTTGTCCACTTCAGTCTGTCCTGCACTCAGCAGTCTAAATGACCTTCCTGAAGCACATGTCTGACCATGTCATCCCCCTATTCAATAAATTTCAGTGACTCCCTATCACTTCCAGGATGAAGTATAAAATCCTCTGTTGGTCTTTGAAAGGCCTTTAAGCCTGGCCCTTCCTACCATTTCAGTCTTCTTATACTGTATTCACCCCTACCTATCCTACAATCCAGTGACATTGGTCTCCTTGGCGTTCCTAACATTATACTCCTCATCTTCTCACTCTGGGCATTTTCACTATCTGTCCTCCAAATTTGGAATGCTTTACCTCCTCCCTTCTGCCTCCTGGCTCCCCCGACTTCCTTCAAGTCAAGTCCTGCCAAAAATTTTCTTTTGTATGAGAAGCATTTCTCAGGCTTCCTTAATCTTAGAGCCTTTCTTCTAAGGTTATCTCCAATTTATCCTTTATATATCCTGTTTGTACATAGTTGATTTCATTTTTTTTCCTTTACTCCTTAAGAGTAGATACTATCTTTTGCATTACTTTATATCCGCAGTGCTTAACACAGTGCTTGAAACATAGGAGGAGGAGGTCTTTAAAAAATGCTTGTTTATTGACTGGCTTTATTATTGTTGATTTTTATGACGGTGTAAAGAGACATTTCAAGGATTTGTTTACCACATTTATTTTAATGTAGCTCCCCTCTGGGTAAAATGATATGATGAGAAATACTGAAAGAATAGAATACTATTTTCAAAGGTGAAAGCATCTAGCTTTCTAATAGAATAGCCATCTAATAGAATAGAATAATTTTATAGATAAGAAAATCACGTCCCCCTAAAAATAAAATGATTTGCTCACAGTAACACACTTTATCAATGGCACATGTAGGATTTGAACCTATGTCCTATGCACTCATCACTGATCTATTTTGAGTCATTTCAGCTTAGACTGATTAATTATTTACAAATATATGCTTCACTGAACCATTATAATTTGGTCTTTATTCTAGCTCTTGATATCCCATTTTTAAAATTTATGTTACTTTCACTTCGGAATGTATGGCCATTAATTTTTTCTTTAAAATGATTTAAAAAACACAAGGATATTTTAAAATTGTTGTCAAATAACAAATCAATTAAAGGTATATCAAAATATTCTCAATTCAAAATATAGATGAACTGAGGAAAAGAGGATATGTATGCAGATTATCTTAGTGTTAAAGAAAAATGGCGAATCTTCTTAATTGGTAGGGTTTTGCTCTTCCTATTTTAAGTTGTGCCTAACATAGATTTTCTCATAAAATAGGAACCATCAAACCCTTTAAAATAACTTCTTATTAAATTTACCAGAATTACCATGTTATTACATTCCATTATATATCACATATATTCATCAAGAAGACCCATGCATGTTTTAACATACATTGATTCTGTGAAAGTTTTAGTCCACTGGCTAAAGCTAGGTAAAGATGCAGTTCAAAAGGATTGAGTTTGGTAGATGTTTTAAATAAAATAATAAAGTTTTCCATTTACAAAATCATTCTGAACACATGAATGTGACTCTAAAATAATTATATTGGTTCTGTGTATCCTTTAACAAGTGCATTTTCAACACTTGATTTATAATTATTGCAGAATCAGTGGTGGGTTAGGTCATTAAGTAGGAAGAATAAAACACTGACTGATTAAGAGTTACCACTGATTGCTCTTACTCACATACTTGACATAGAACTACACAAATAACTCACTCAAAGAAATGTAAAGTAATATGGTCTTCTTGAACAGTGATGTAGTCTTGAAAGGCAGTAACTAATTATTTACTGGATAATGCCTGCCCCCTAGTGACACTTTTTTGGAAAATCCATTCTAAGAGTAAGATGCATGTAATAAATAAGCTATATACCAATACTTTTATTTAATATTGAAAATAACTTATTCCTACTACCAAAAACACTACAGAGCTAAAAATGTAGAAGGTGAAATTAGTTGGCCTCTATTAAATATTTGTTTTTAATATGGAAAATGAAATAGGGCAGAGCTTCCTTTTTAATGCCGGTATTTTCTGACACGGATTTGGCATCTACTTTGTAAAGGCTAATTAAGAGAACCAGAGTTTCTTTTTAGACCATTAGAATATTGGATTTAAAGCAGTCAAGGACATAAGAGATCACTTAATTCACCCTTTCACCTTTTATAAACGAATAAATCAAAGCCTATAGAAGTTAAGAATCTTCCCCAAAGTCACATAGGTTGCAAGTGGCAAAACTAGGATTTGGTATCAGGTCTAGAAATACAGTTCTTTTTCCACTGTTTTATTTTGTATTTAGAATACTTTATGGGAAACATATTTTTATTTATTGAGTATGTTTGTATCAATTTAATAGTGATAGAGTCCATTATATTTGTCATAAGTCAGATATAAGTTGTAGCTTTTAATATTTTAGGCATGTGATGTAAATATCTAGTCAGTAATTTTTTATGATACTTTGTTTTGACAAATCAATATTTCTGAACTCTTGATGAATAATGAAAAAGTTGTTGCAAATAATTCACTTGCAGTTTTTTCAATAAAAATGAAAATACCAGAAATTTAATTTACTTTTATTGTATTGAGTTCTTTGTTTCATATTAGTTTTAACTTTAATGTTTACTTGTAAAGCTCAAGTTGCAATATGAGCTTATTATGCTGAACAGTGTGATTTTTAGAAATGATTCTGAGATGAAAATATTTGGTAGGTATGAATCATGTCAGGTTTTATTTCAGTCTTTCGAAGTTATAACTTTTCTTTATCTGACTTTTATATTTTTTCTTCTCTTAACAGAGGTATAGGTGCTCTTTTGGAGACAAAAGCACTAATAGAAGAAATACTACAAGGAAGAGATTTAAATTTACCCTTTCAGGGAATTGGTAATTTTGGAAATCAGGTTGGATTTGTGAAGTTGGCAGAAGGCGATCATGTAGCTACACTTCTCGAGATAGCAGGTAAAACACAACCTGAATAATGAGAATTAGAAGTATCTCTGAAACTTTTCATAGTCTATTAAAATAATAAAATCCTTTCAATTAAAAAAGACAAGAAAAGTTATTCTATGTGATTTCAAAGAGAACCAGTATAACCTTATTTTATAATCAAATGCTGCATTGGGTATTGGGTACTGGGTATTGGGGAAAATAAGGAAGCGGACATCTTTTAGTTGAAGGTTTTGTGTGTGTGTGTGTGTGTGTGTGTGTGTGTGTGTGAAATACTCAGAGCTAGAAACCAGATTGATTCTGTAGTAAACTGAAGGGCATAGTGCTAGACTGAAGTACTTTTGAAGATCTGACTTGAATTTGAAGTATGTAAGGGGAAATATTATGAAATAAGACTGGAAAGATAGCATCTAGAGTGCAGAGGTCCTTAATTGCTAGGCTGAGAATTTTATATATTCTGAAGGCAACAGGGAACTGCAGATAGCAGGTTAGTGACATGTCTCAACCTGTGCCTTAGAAACATATGAGCACCTTTATGGAGAATCTGTACAGTCCTGCTCTGATCTCTCATTGCAATGTGAAAATGTTCCTGAGTTTCTGAAGGCTATCTCAGATGAGCGTAAGTCTGAGCAGCTTTTACCATACCAGAAAGGTGTCAGGTATGGTTGTATGTTCCCAATGATATACTGAGTGTTCTGTCCAAAGACCAGTGCAACTGAGCATAGAAAGGTTCTTCACTAGTAGTTGGATTCCAGGCAAATGAATTCTTTGGCCAATGCAACTCAAGAAACGTAGATCTAAAACGGGCCTCAGTTTTGTCTGGTCCTCTTCATTTCCAAAATGATCATGGAAAATGTCAGTAGGAAAACATGATGTAAGTTTTAGGCTGTCTATAAACATCAGCTTAGACTAAATTATTCTAAATGTGATATCCTTGTCTAATGATTAACAAATTGACACATTACTGGAAGTACTGAACCACATTAGTATTGACATTCTTGCAGTAAATGAGACATTAAGACAAAAAAAGTTATATAGAAAGATGACTGTTAATAGATTCAGGAGAGATAATTTAAAAATTATTGGACTGCCTGAAAGCCATGATCAGAAAAAGAGCCTAGACATCATTTTTCAAAGAATTATAAAGGAAAACTGTCCTGACATTCTAGAAGAAGAGGGTAAAATAGAAATTGAAAGAATACACCAATCACCTCCTGAAAGAGATCTCAAAGTTAAAACTGTCAGGAATATTATAGCCAAATTCCAGAGCTCCCAGGTTAAGGAGAGGATATTGTTAGCAGCCAGAAAGAAACAATTCAAATATTGTAGAGCCACAGTCTGGATAACACAAGATTTAGCCGCTTCTACATGAAAGGATCAGAGGCCCTGGAATATGATATTCTAGAGGGTAAAAGAGCTAGGATTACAACCAAGAATCACCTACCCAGCAAAACTGAGTATAATACTTCAAGGGAAAAAATGGATATTCAATGAAAAAGAGGCCTTTCAAGCATTCTGGATGAAAAAAATCAGAGCTGAATAGAAAATCTGGCTTTTAAATACAAGGCTCAAGAGAAGCATGAAAAGGTAAACAGGAAAAGGGACTAATAAGGGACTTAATAAGGTTAAATTGTTTAGATTTCTAAATGGGAAGATGATACTTGTAAGCCATAAATGAACTTTCTCTTTATTAGGGTAATTAGAAGGAGTATATATAGACAGGGCACAGGTGTTAGTTGAATATGAAGGGATAATGTCTTAAAAAATAAAATTAAGGGGTGGGGTGAGAAAGAGGAAGGCACTGAAGAAAGGGAAAGGGAAGGGTAGAATGGAGCAAATTATCTCACATAAAAGAGGCAAGGAAGAACTTTTACAGTGGGGGGAAAGAGGGGGGGGGGGGGGGGGGGGGGGGATGAGTGAATCTTACTCTTATTAGAATTGGCTCAAAAAGGGAATAACAAACACCTTCAATTGAGTATAGAAAACTATCTTACCCTACAGGAAAGTAGAGGGGTAGAGGATAAGAGAAAGGGAGTATGTGATAGAAGGGAGGGCAGATTGGGGGAGGGGGTAATCAGAAGCAAAACACTTTTAAGGGGGGACAAGGTGAAAGGAGAGAGAATAGAATAAACGGGGTGGGGGAATAGAATGGAGGGAAATACATTTAGTAATCTTAACCTTGAAAAAATTCTGAAGCAAGTTCCTCTGATAAAGGCCTCATTTCTCAAATATATAGAGAACTGAGTCAAATTTATAAAAATAAGTCATTCCCCAATTAATATAAATGATCAAAAGATATGAACAGTTTTCATATGAAATAATCAGATCTATCTATAGCCATGTGAAAGATGTTCTAACTCACTATTGATTGGAGAAATGCAAATTGAAACAATTTTCAGGTACTACCTCATACATTTTAGATTAGCTAATAGAACACAAAAGGAAAACGACGAATGTTGGAGCGGATGTGGGAAAAATGAAATATTAATGCACTGTTGGTGGAGTTGTGAACTGATTCAACCATTCTTTAGAACAGTATGGAACTAGGTCCTTAAAAGGGTTGCATACCCTTTGACCTAGCAATACCACTATTAGGTCAGTATCCAAAAAGAGATGGAAAACAAAAAGGAAAAGGACCTATATATATATATATGTATATATACATATATATGTATATATATATGTATATATATATGTATATATACATATATATGTGTGTGTGTGTATATATATATATATGAAATATTTATAGCAGCTCTTTTTTGGGGGCAAAGAATTAGAAATGGAGTGGATGCCTATCAATTGGGAAATGGCTGAAGAAATTATGCTATGTGATTGTGATGGAATACTGTTGTGCTATAAGAAATGATAAACAGGATGCTCTAAGAAAAACCTGGAAAGACTTAGAGGAGCTTCTGCAAAGTGAAATATACTGTCTGTCATGATCATCTGTGAATGACTTAGCCATTCTCAGCAATACAGTGATCCAAGATAACTTTAAAGGACTTATGATAAAAAATGCTATCCTTCCCTAGACAAAGAACTGATTATGTCTGAATACAGACTGTAGCATACTTTTTTACTTTCTTTGTTTTTCTTGAGGGTTTTTTTTGGGATCTATGTTTTCTTTCACAACATGACTAATATGAAAATGTTTTGCATGACATGTGTATAACCTACATCAAATTGCATGCCTTCTCAATGGGGAGGGGGATGGAGAGGGAGGAAGGGAGAGAATTTGGAACTCAAAATTTTAAAAATTAATGTTAAAAATCGTTTTTCCATGTAACTGGTGAAAAATAAAATACTAAAACAACAACAAAAAAGAAAGATGGCTGTTAAATGGAAAGTTGGTTTGTTTATAGATCTCCTTGGATAGGCAAACAAAGACTTTGGCAGAATTGGTTTTATTTTATGTCCAGAAGCAATAAGAAATATAATTCATGGAACACTATGTTATTTTATCTTGCTATGCTTGTCATAAGGTTAAACATATACTTTAGGATTCTATGAAGTCTTAAGGTCCATAATGAAGTTTATGACTTTATTGTGAAGGAGAAATGATGAAAAGTGTGTTGGAAAATATCCTTTTATTAAGGGGATTTGTTTTGTGAAGTTTGGATTCAGTCAAAGGGTCGCACTTGGAGACCTAGAGGGCCATAAATGGCCTGGAAGCTGCAGGTTTTCCACTCCTGGTCTAGACTATAGACCAATACACATGTGCAGTATACTTGGTGAATATGCCTTCCTTTTTATGTCTGAGTAAAACTCTTTTAGGAGAATTGTGAGATTATTGTGTGTGTCTCATTTCATTCCAGGCTCAAACCTGAATTGTGAGACTAGTCTAAGCCAGGCCTGGTCTATAATACATATTTTTAGGTCATGTAAGATTTCTTGATAAACTCTGTTCTATGATCTTCTAATTTTTACCAGTAAAGGAGACATAAAACAAAGAAAACAAAGATATGAATACTTGCCAAAGATGTTCACCATTGTCATGGAGTGTGAGATCTGAATAAAATAGAGATTTAATGTAGATAGAAGCCCTCCAGATGCTCCTTTTTACATACGGTATTATGCTGATTACATGGAGTCCTTCAGGTTTTCAGTAAGAGCCATATTTTTTAAAGGAAATAAGGTGAACAGTCCATGTAGGAAAAATTGAATAGATGAAAATGATTGTTGTCTAGGTTATAACGTGCAGTTGGATGAACTGTTCATTGGGTATATCAACATATATATTTAAGATAGTCATTGCAGAATGACAGTGGGTTGGTCCTAAAAGTTAATAGGAGAAGCAAGTTGGCTGGAATGAACTTGTGTAAGGTTTTTAATAATTCCTCATTTAGAGAATCATCTTTTTAACATAAATGTTATCTCATCAATGCTGTAAATGAATCTTGGAACTCCACAATCTCTGAGTTATGGGTGATGCAGAGTACAATGGAAAGATGTGTGGTATGCTCAGGAAGGCTTGCAGCATATTTTCAAGGGTGACCTATGTGTGAAAAGCAACAAAAGAAAGATTGTTGAGGAAATAGAGGATTGGAAAATGAATTATGTGTCCTGCAGAAAGACATGAGGGATAGCAAATAGACAGCCAGAGTGCCCTGCTGATGTCCACTATATGCCAAAAGACATAGAGAAAGTCTAGAGTGAATCTAAGTAATTGTGTGGACCACAACTGCACAGGACAAGGGGCATGGGTGGATTGTGATCTGAACTAGTATAGAGAATGCTCATGTCCTCTAACCTCTCTGGGCCTTACCTTTCCTAAGCTGAAAAATTAGAAGTTTGGACTAGACCCGAAGGTCCCTTAGAGCTCTTAAACTATGATTCTAAATCTCAGATCTGTTGGAGTACTACTGTATTTTCAGTGTGATCTCCAGGTCGGGTTCTTCCTCAACTTCATTTGCCTCTTTATTCTCTGCAACAGGTGTTAACACATAATCCATTAAAATTGTGATGCTCATTTCTTTTGTGTTCTTCATTAGCACCGGAGGGTGACATGA